TAAAAATATATATGTTATATTTTGTTATTTTAAAAAAATCAAATAATAAATAGTTCTAGTGGGATCGTAAAGCAAAAGAATAATCCTTTTCCAGGGAGGAGGGGGGTGGGGTGGTGGTGGTGGCTTGGGCGAGGGCGCCGATGGCGAGGTGGATGAAGGTTGTGAGGCCGTCGGTCGTCCAAGTGTTGTGGATTGGGGAGGTGGTGGCTGTGTAGGAGAGGGGCAGGCCGGTTGTGGTGGAGTTGGTGAACATGGGCAGGGTGCCGTCGATGCTGGTGCCGGCCATGAGCGGGGCGATGGTAAACCAGAGGAGGAGCTCGTTGAGGCGGGTTTCGGGGGATGCGGCGGGGCTGAGGGTGAGGTTGTCGATTGAGGAGAGGACGGGTAGGGTGGTTGTGTCGGCCGGTATCGACATGTTGCCGACTGAGAGGGTATCGTCAACGGCCTCGATATCCACGTCACAGGCTACCGAGGACACGTTGGTCAGGTTGTCAAAGACAAGGGGCGTCGTGCTGCCACCTTCGATTGTGCCGTTGATCGCGGCAAAGACCAGGGTGGCCCGGGTGCGCCGGTCCGAGACGAACTCAAAGTCATCCGCCCAGACCGTCAATGGGGCCTGCGGACTGACCCAAACCTCGGCGCCGCTGTTCTTATCGCCGGCCTGACTCGAGTTGGGGGTGCGCGTCATATTCGTCAAAAACGCGCTCCACCCCATGCTGTCCCTTTTCAGTTGTGTGACATTGTGTGGACGACAGGAGATGGATGTTTTGAACCGGAGTGCGTTGGCGATAAAATTCCCCCGATCCCCCAGCGTCTCCCTGTCAATATACCAGTCACGATGTTCCGGCATAGGGCTCAGAGGACGGATCTCGCCGCCCATGTATTGTACCCGGTGAGCATTTGGACTCATGACTCGAGGTCGGGGGGGTTGGATTTGACTCGTAGAGCTCGCCAATGCTCATTTGTTGGGCGCTGTAATTGCTTTTCGAGGATCGACTGGGCTTTCCAGGTAGGGGGAATATGCGTTTCCAACGAGCGGAGGCGCAGAAAACGGGAGTAGCGTCACAACCAGGGCGCAAGCGATAACAAAGCCGGCGGCAGGCGATCTCACCGACATGATTGCTGCAGGGGATAGCATGATTGATCCGCGGGTCGTTGACAGGTAGGCATTTAGCCCCTTGATAGTGAAGGACTGCTTGTGAAGTAGCGGCCAGACCGTTGCCTCGCACAGCCCGAGCGCCGCATATGCCAGTGCTACCATCCCAATCAGATAGACCATGGTGATGATGCCCTGGACCACCCCCAGGTTCTCAATCGTCCAGCTGTCAACCATTCGGCAGTAGTTCGACCAATCCGGGCACTCGAGCACCTGTTTGGTGACCTCGCTAGTGTAAACAATGGCGACGATCACAAATATAATCCCGGCCAGTAAAGCAGCGGGAATGGAGATGTGAGTTGCGATGAAGGACCACCATCCAAGCCGCCTGGGCCTCGGGGCTCCAAAAACAAAGTCATGATCCGAGGCGAGACGGCGGATATCTCGAGGGGTGGGAGGGCCCGCCATGTCGCCAAGCTCGAGGTGAAGGTACGGCAAGGGGTGTTGCGCTTCGAACTCTTCTTGGAAGACCGACCTGTGCGAGCGGGTCCTGGAGAGGGAGGGGAGGTGCGTCGACGACATGAGCCTGTTAGATTTAGACGTCGTAGATGGGAAAAGGGAGCTGGAAAACCATACTGTCTCCACCACGCACTTGCGGACGGCAGATGAAGCAAGAACAGGAGGATTTAGGCGCAGTTCCGGGGTCCAAGCAAGCTGGCAGCGATACCCTATCACTTGGGGATTTACGTGGCAGAAACAGACACCAATAGAAATGCGCAGTGTGAGTCGTTAGAGCGATGTCGCTGTCCACACAATAACCCAGTTCCCATCAACAAGACCCATGGCCAAGTTGGGTACAGCGCAGTTAGGGCTCGCTCGCCCGATGCGTGTCCGTTTTGTAGCCAGTGAAGTTAGCCCTCCTGTCTTGCAGAAGCCCAATCGTGGTTCGGCGGGATGCATTTGTCACCGGAGCGATGATAGGCCCATGGACTTGGGCGCACAAAACATCTTGGAGTATACTACAGACGGGAAACGGAGCTTGAAAAAGGTCTATTGGGTGTCAGTATTTCAAAACCATGGCTGCTGAATTGGCTAAGACGCAATGTTCCTCTGTAAGTCAGGTTTCCCAACGGGTTTGGAGTGGGCTCCCGAAAGCTACCGGACAAAGCCTCTGGGTATGTCAATTTTTGGCGGAAAAATGCCATAAGCAGACCTACCGTCCGCCTTTTTTGTTTATACCAGGTGGCTCAATGTGGGTGCTAGTCCGGGGAGAGCGTTCTAAGGTTCCGTAGGAGCCGTACAGGCGTGGGCCTCGGCCGCATGGGAAGGTTGCGCAGCGCATTCGGGGACTCGCACATTAACAACAGGAGCGAGAACCTATCAACCAGGGGCTTCCCTACCCTTGACAGAATTTGCTTTCGTGTTCTGGCTGTCAGCCAATCCCTGTTTCACAAGCAGCCGCGAGCTACAAGGAGGGCACGTAAGTCTCGCTCGGTACAGCCCGTTCGGACACAGGTACAATATTCACCACCCTAGATAGCGTCGTCACCGCCGCGGTTTGTCGAGGGGCCGCCGGTCGCAAATCGCGTCAAGGGCGTCTCGTCCTCTGTTAGTGACAATATGAGAGCATCACAAACGTACAAGGACCATCTCTCACGTCTAAACACAATTCTATCACTTCTATCATGCGAGCCGCGAGCGCCAGACGCCTTGTCTAGGTATTAACCACAAAAACAAACAACTGACACACAAAATGGAACCGCGCCATGCAATGCAGTTTTCGCCCACCCTCCCCTTCCAACTCCTTTCCCAGCAACAAAACCTCCTACCCCAACAACAACACCAACAACCCACTCAAACAGCCGAGCGCTGATGCATCTCATAGCCCTGCTGCTGCGGATGCTGGGTCTCGTGGGCGGCCGGGGTGGAGGGGTAGCTGTGGCCGCTGTAGGCGTTGGTCTCGGCAATGGCCTGCCGGTCGTAGTAGGCCGCCTTGTCGGTGGTGATGCCCTCGTCCTGGCCGTACATGTGCTGCGGCGGGGGCGGGATGTTGGAGACGGCCGGGTAGCCCGTGTCGGCGACCAGGTTGTGCACCTCCGGGTTGTTGGCCTGCACGTACGTGCCGCGCAGCGAGCCCTTGCGGTACTGGTGGTAGACGACGGAGGCGTAGATCAGGAGGCCGAGGAAGGAGAGGCTGTGGGGAGGGGTGTTAGTTTGGTGGGGGGCTTTGTTGGGTTGGGTTGTGGAGGTGGGGTTTGGGCTTACAGGATGAGCACGCCGATTACGACGGAAAGGACGCCGTTGCGGGGACCGGCCATGGTCAGGGCGAAGTTGACGACGTAGAAGACGCTTTGGATGATGTTGACGGTGAGGAAGAATTGCGGGGTCAATCTCCGCCTGGCGCGCATGATGATGCAGACAATGTCGAGGATCAGGCAGAGCAAGATGATGGCCATGATGACACAGGATACGGCCAGAACGGCGTCGTATTGGAGGGTCGTGTGATATTCAGCGTAGAGCCGTTCCATGTCGTCTTTGAATACGCTGAGACCGGTAATGACCAACGCGTACAGGCCGATTTGGACGAGCATGATGAGGATGCGAACAATCCAGAACGGTATCAAAACCCGCTTGAGAAATGGCGACGAGTCGCCGACAACGTATGGGCGAGACATGGCTGCTAGAAGTCGGGGATGGTACCTGGTTTGAAGGTGAGGCGGAGGCGGAGGTGTAGAGATGTCGAGATATCGAGCTTCCAGACGCCCACCACGATGGTTTGTTGCGCCTTATTAAATGCCGATGGGTTGTAATCAGGATTCAATGCTCCCTGTCGGGCTTTTGGATTTCTTCGTCGTCGCTCGTTGCAGGACCAATCAGTCGATTTGTGGTTGCTGCCTGAGCCACATGGCTGCGCTGAGCCCAGTAGGGCGAGCCGGGGTGTAAGACTTGGCAACTCCCCTGAGCCCCCCAATCTTGAATGATGGCAAGGCTTGATTGGCCTCGTCTGGGGCTGAAAATCTTGGTGCCTGTGCCCCCGTGTCTAGCGCTGAAAATGCACTCCGCATCTGGAGCCATCCGACGAGCTCAGCCCATTCGGCAGGGGACTTTATTGCCGCAGGCAAGGTCGATGCATGTCAGCACCAAGAGCAAAGACGAAAATATCGCCTTTGGCACAGAAAGGTGAACCTTTCGAGCGTCTAGCGAGCTTCCTCGGGACTTGAACGCCTCCTTGGCTAGCCTCAAACCTTAAAATGCGGGTGACCCCGATCTGTGCCACTTGAACGCCACCGCCGCGCATCATGAAAACGACCTTGTTATGTACCGTATGTATTTCGACGGCGAGGCCTAGTTAGGAGTGATTCGAGAGCTTGAAGCGTTTCCAGACAGAACGAGGTGGTAATCCCAACCCACGTTCGAGCGGTATTATCAAGTCCTTAGCCAAAGGCAGTTCGAATTCAGCCGTGTTACAATTAAACACGAAAGTTAGGCCTGGGCTCGCGAGTTGAGGACATTTACAGGGAACGAGTTGGCCAGCCGAACCCTGGTTCACGTTCACCCCACACAAACAACTGATCAATCAAACGAGTGATGATTGAAGAAGACATTGAAGAAGGGCCGCCCATATCAAAGCACCAGAGAAAGACAAGCAATAAAATGACGATTTTGAGCCGTGCCAGACGAAAAGGATAGAGGCTAAGGCATCAGGCGCGTCAATGCCGTCGCGACTTCCATTTCAGTGAAACCCGAATCTTGCCATCTCGAGTCGGTTCCACAAATTCGCAGGGTGCTGCACCTCTGAAGCCCTGACGTCATCATCCCACCCGACCTGTAACTTGCAAGTCGTAACCCATTCATCATCCATCGGCTTCGCAGCTTCTCAAAAAGTACTTTCCAGCGTCTTCTGATGTCTTGAATTTACCTACGTACCTTTCAGTCGACACCGCCAACTCTCCGGATCATAAGTCAAACATAAGTCAAACAACAAAACGAACAATGGCCGAAGTAGCAGCCGCGGCGATCGCAGCCGAGCAAGTCGTAGCAACAGGCGTCGAAGCAGCAGCAGCCGTTGCCATCGCCGCGCCGACCCTACCCCTTAAAATAGCCCTCACTCACCTCCCAAACCCAGCCCCAGAAGGCTCACCGTACGCATTACCCCACCCTCCCAAACTCACCCAAACTAACCACCGGTGACCGCCCCCTCCAGCCACCCCGCGCTCTGCCGCTCGCACCACACGCTCACCGTCCTCCGCAACAAAGCCTACATCTTCGGCGGGCTCGACCCTTCAGGCACACTCTGCCCCCCCGGCATCCACACCATCACCCTCCCCTCATCCCCCACCGCCACCGACCCCGCCAGCGTCGCAGCACCACCAACCAACAACGACAACGAGCAGTACAACAACAACAACGACGACAACAACCTCGACGCGGACGTCTGACACCCTCTCTCTCAACAGACTACAACTTCGCCTACACCGCGTACTCGCCCTTCCTGCTCCAAGACGCGACCACTGGCGAAACACTCCTTTCTGGCCCTCGCGCGGGCCACGCCGCTTGTGCGTGGGGCGACCGCTACGTTTTGGTGCACGGCGGGTGGGGCGCCGACGGCCGGGCGGTGGAGGAGGGCGGGTGTATTTGGCGGTGGGACTGCGAGGGCCTGCGGTGGGGGAAGCTGAGGGGGGATTCGCAGTTGGGCGTGGGGATGAGGGCGCGGGGGGGGCATTGGATGGTGGGGGATGGAGGGGGGGATGGGGA